CCAGACTGGAGTGCAGTGGCCGCTTTCGGCCACCGCAGCCTCGACCTGCTGGGCTCCAGCAATCCTTCCGCCTCAGCCTTCCAGGTAGCCAGACCTACGGGCACACGCTACCAGGGCTATTTTTTTTTTGTTTATTGTAGAGATGAGGTCTCGCCAAGTTGCCCAGGTGGGTCTCGAACCCACGGGCTCAGGCAGTCCACTTGCCTTGGCCTCCCAAAGTGGTGGGATTACGGGCTGAGCCATCAAGCTTGGCCTAGGTTTTCTACACAGACAGTTATATCCTCTGTGAAAAAAGACAGTCTAGTTTGATTTCTTCCTTCCTAATCTGCATAACTTTTATCTTCTTGCACTTGACAGGACCTCTAGTACAATATTGAAGAACAGTGGTGAGGGGACATTCTTGCCTTGTTCCTGCCTTGCCTTGTTAGTGGGAAAACTTGCAGTTTCTAATAATTAAATATGTGAGTTGTAGATTTCTTACAGGTATTCTTTATAAAGTTGATGAAGTTCATCTCTGTTCCTAGTTTGTTGAGAGTTTTTGTCATGAATGGATATGGAATTTTGTCAAATGCTTTTTTTGTGTTTGTTCATATGATCATGTGATTTTCCTTTAGACTGTTGATGCAATGGATCATATTAATTGACTTTCACCTGTTGAATCGACCTTGCATACCTGGGATAAATCCCACCTGTTTGTTGTGTATAATTATTTTTATGCATTGTTGGATTCAACTTCCTAATATTTTGTTGGAAATTTTTCATATATGTTCATGAGAGATACTGAGGTATAGTTTCCTTGCAATGTCTTTGTCTGGTTTTGGTAATAGAGTAATGCTGGACTCATAGAACGAGTTAGGAAGTATTTCTTCTGCTTCTGTCTTCTGGAAGTGATTATAGAGAATTAGTATAATATCTTCTTCAAATGTATGGTAGAATTCACCAGTGAAACCATCTGGGCAGCATTTGCTTTTAAAATTATGTAGGAAATACATACTGGGATTATAAAACAAAGTACCCTAATCCTGGTTTTTATATTTGCTCACGTAGCTTCTTTTTTGGAGCTCGTCATCTCTTCATACAGCTTGTGACGTTGTCTAGTGCTCTTTGGCTTCCACCTGAAGGTCTCCCTTTAGCATTTTTTTGTGGAGCATGCCTAATGTTATTGAACGCTTCAGCTTTTGTTTATCTGCGAATGTCTTAATTCTTAACTTCTTTCTCTCTCTCTTTTGTTTTTGAGACATTGTCTGGCTGTTACACCCAGCCCGGGGTGCAGTAGTGTGACTGTAGTTCATTGTAACCTTGAACTCTTGAGTTAAAGTGATCCTTTCACCTCAGTCTTCTGAGTAGCTGGGACTACAGGCTGTGCCACCATGCCCAGCTAGTTTTTTTATTTTTATTTTTTTTTGTAGATGTGGGGCTTACTATATTGACCAGGCTGGTCTTGAACTCCTGGCCTCAAGTAATCCTCCTGCATTGGCTTCCCAAAGTGTTAAGAGTTGTGAGCCATTGTGGAAAAACCACTGGCTTTTTTCTCTCATTTTTGAAAGATAGTTTACCACATATAATATTTTGGGCTAAGAGTTTCATTCTTTTATCATTTTAAATATGTCATCCTGGCTTCTAGGATTTCTGCTGAGAAATCAGTTGATAACCTAAACGAGGATCTCTTGTAGATGGCTAGTTACTTACTCTTGCTGCTTTAAGATTCTTTGTGTTTCAGCTATGTGACCATAACATGTTTCAGTGTGGTTCTTTAAATTTGTTCTTCTTGGAGTTAGTTGAGTTTCTTATATTTGTAGTTTTATGTCTTGCATCAAATTTGGGAAGTTTTTGGACGACATTTCCTCACATTGTCTCTACCGTTTTCTCACAGTCTTCTCTTTGTGCTCTGTATGTTGGTTCACTTAATGGTGTCCCACAGGCACCTTCCCCTCCGCTTGCTTTTTTTTCCTCTTCTCAAGATTGGACAACTTCAGCCGGGCTCGGTGGCTCAGCCTGTAATCCCATGCTTTGAGAGGCGGAGGTGAATGGACTGCCTGAGCCCGTGAGTTCGAGACCCGCCTGGGCAACTTGGCGAGACCTCATCTCTACAATAAATCAAAAAATCAGCCGGGCGTGGTAGCGCATGCCTGTAATTCCGGCTACTCGGAAGGCTGAGGCGGAAGGATCGCCAGAGCCCAGCAAGCGAGGCTGTGGTGGCCGGGAGTAGCCACTGCACTCCAGTCTGAGCGACAGAGGGAGATGCCAACTCAAAAAAATAAAATACAAATAAAAATAAATAAAAAAAGATAGGACAACTTCAGATTGTCCTGCCTCCGTATTCCTTGATCTTTCTTCTCCCTGCTCCAATCTCCTATTGAACCCCTGTGGTG